AGGCGGTGGGCCGGGCGGGGCGGGCGCGCCGTGGGCAGGACTCGGAGTGGGGACGGAGCGGGGGGGGCGGCGGCGGTGGGCATGCCCTGGGGACTCGGAGGCGGGGGTGGGGCAGGGGGGTGAGGAGCGGGCGGGGGTGGGGGGCGAAGTGGGCGGGGAGAGTGGGGCGGGCGAGACGGTGGGGCAGGGCGAGAGGCGGGTGGCGAGACGGGGGCAGCGGATGTAGCGGGGCGGCGAGGAGGCGGGCGGTTGAGGAGGGCGGGGAGGTGCGAGGAGCGGGCGGGCGAAGCGGGCGGGGGTGAGGAGGCGGGAGTGCGAGCGGGAGGCGGGGTGGGGCAGCGAGAGCGGCAGACGAGAGCGGTGGGGCAGGACGAGGAGCGCGGGGTGGGCAGGCGAGGAGCCGGCGGGTGAGAGGCGGGCGTGGGTGCGTGTGAGCGAGGGCGGGGAGACGGGGGCGGGGTAGGTGCGAGAGGCGGGTGCGGTGTGAGAGGGCGGGCGGTGCGGGCAGGCGAGGAGGCGGTTGTGGGGGAGGAGGGCGGGAAGAGGGTGGAGCGGGGTGTGGGGTGGGCAGGGCGGGGAGGGAGTGGGGCGGCGAAGCGGGCGGGCGGGCGAGTAGGCGGGCGGGCAGGAGGCGGGGGGCGAGAGCGGAGGTGGTGGGCAGGGCGAAGACGGGCGGGACGAGATTGGGGGTGGGCAGCGTGAGAGGCGGGCAGACGGGGAGAGGCGGGTCGCGGAGATAGCGGGTGGGGCAGGGTGAGGAGCGGGGCGGGGCAGTTGTTTGTTTGTTTTTTTGTGTGAGAGCGGGCTGTTGGCAGTCGTCGGTTGGTGGTGAGGAGCCCTGTTTTGCTATGTCTATGTATTTGAGCGGGCGGCAGGCGAGGAGGGCAGCGGGGGTGAGAGCAGGTGTGTCTGAAGGAAGTGGTGGTGTCGGTTGCGAGGATGGTGGGGTGTGAGGCGGTGCGGTGGAATGGGCAAGAGGGCGGTGCTGGGTGGTGAGGCATAAGGGGCGTGCGGGGTGTGAGGCAAAGGCGGGGCGGTGAGCCTGTAGTGCGGGGTGGGGCGGGGTGTGAGGCGAGGGGATGGGGGCGGGAGGCGAAGGGGGCGTGGGTTGGGCGGTGTGAGGCGGGTGCGGGGGGGGGCGGATCTGTGGCGGTGGCGGGGCGATGGCGGGGCTGAGGAGGTTGGTGGCTGGGCGGCCTGGGCTGAGGAGGTGGGCGGGCGATGGAGGCGGGGCGGGCGAGGATGCGGTTGCGGGCTGAGGGTTTCTGGGGGCGGTTGTGGAGGAGGGGTTGTGGTGGGCGTGAGGTTTGTGTAGTCTTGTGGTCTGGATGTTTCCGGAGGCGGGCGGGGGCAAAGAGGCGGGACGGGCGGGCGAGGGCGGGGCGAAGAGGGCGGTGCGGGGCGGGGAGGTGCTAGGAGCGGCGCGGGCGAGGAGGGGTGGGCGAGGCGGGCAGCGCGAGGAGGCGGGAGCGGGGCGCGAGAGCGGCGGCGCCAGGAGGCGAGGGCGCGCAGGGAGGCGGGTGGGGAGGAGGCGCGCGGGTGAGGAGGCGGGCGTGTGAGGAGGGGCGGGTGAGAGGCGGGGGGGAGGTGCGAGGAGGGCGGGAGGTGCGAGGGAGCGGCGGCGGGCGAACGGCGCGCAAGAGGAGGGGCGGCGAGAGCGGGGCGGCCTGGGGCGGGCAGACCCGGAGGGCTTCGGTCCGGGCGCACGGGGAAGACTGCGGGGCCCTTCTTTCTTTTGTAGAAAAAGTTCTTTCAGAGTAAAGGTTCGCGATGGAATGTTCTGGGAGGCTTACCGGTCTTTCTCCCCTGCCCGCAGGCTGGCCTCCGGCTTCCCAGGCTTGGCGGCGCTGCAGCCCCGCCGCCTCCTGCCTCCACGAGGCACCGGGCAGCGGAGCGCGCTGTCTCTGCTCCCGGCCTCCCGTGGGGTTTTCCTCTCATCTTTCTAATTGGCAGAAGGTGCTGCTGCACGTTGGACACAGTGGTTTAGGGCCTTTTTTTTTTTTATTCAGAGCCACACTCTGTTGCCTGGGCTAGAGTGCAAGAGTGCCGTGGTGTCAGCCTAGCTCACAGCAACCTCAATCTTCTGGGCTCAAGCGATCCTCCTGCCTCAGCCTCCCGAGTAGCTGGGACTACAGGCATGCGCCACCATGCCCGGCTAAGTTTATTCTATTTTTAGTTGTTTTAGCTAATTTATTTCTATTTACAGTAGAGACAGGAGTCTCGCTCTTGCTCAGGCTGGTTTCGAACTCCTGACCTTGAGCAATCCACCCCCCAACCCCCTCCCAGAGTGCTGGGATGACAAGCGTGAGCCACCACGCAAGGCCGAGTGCCTTTTTTTTCTTGCTTCCCCCGCCACCTCCTTATCATGCCTTTCTCATTATTTGTTGGACTTAATTAAATATTTATGTTAAAGATTCTCTTAAACAGCATCCAAGGAATATTAGGGAGAGAAAGTCAGACCTGATTTCTTAGTTTTAGTCTGCCTGGGACCCTTGATAGCCTCACCTCTATTGCTGAAACTTGAAGAAGGCAGAGGGGATGAGGAGACCCAAGGCAGGATGCTTGGGATGCAGTTTAATAGTCATCTTTTAGGAAATAGAATTATAATTTGATCTGAATGCCGAATTGCAATCTGCTTTTAGAATGCTTGGGGCACTGTGTGATCTACATGGATAGCTGGCAGCTGGGTGGTAACATTTTGTCAGTGTCAACGGAAAAAAGCCAGGTCTGCAAAATAATTTTAAAGAGATTTATACTGAGCCAAATTTGAGGACCATGACCCAGAGCCACTGCCAAGAGGCCTTGGGCAAGTGGACTCGCTGTGGCTGGGTTATGGTTTGGTTTTTATACATTTTAGAGACAAGGGTTATGGGTAAAGCCATCAATTAATGTGTGGGAGGCACACATTGGCTTGGCCCAAAAAGGAGGGCCATCTCAAAGGGGGGGGGCTTACAGGTTATAGGTGGGTTTAAAGATTCTTTAGATTGTAATTGGCTAAAGACATGAAGCTTTGTCTAAAGACCTGGAATGTTTTAACATAAACTGTTTACCAGAGATAAGCCATGATTTGTTGCAAATTGAAGGCCTGCAGGTTTGTCTTGCATACCCTTAGGCCTGTTAATGGGTTACAAAGGAAGTCTCCAAGAAGGGAGGGGGGCATGATAAGGCCTGTCTGACCTCCCTCCTCTTGGCAGGCAACTTTGCCCTTGAATATTTTTTTGGCCACAAGGGGGTCCATTTAGTCAGCCGGTAGGGGTTGAGCATTTTAGTTCACATCAGCATCTCTTATTTTCCATTCGTTCAGAGTTTTATTTAGCACAGATTTAGACCTTTTAAGTCAATCTGAATGGGAATAACTTTTCTGATACATTGGTTGCTTTTTGTAAACATTGTCTGCATTATTATTTCTATTGGAAGAAGAAAAAGCAAATGGTGCAGTACAGTGGCTCTTAAGAGTCCACAACAGGTGCTATAATACTTCTAGCCAGTAATTGGATTTGTGGTTATAATATTTTTTAGTATTGATGGTTGAGATTCAATAATATATTTTTCCTTATTGGGTACATTGAAGTCTAACTTGGAATCAATAGTTTTTACTTGGACTTGAATGTGAAGGCAAGAGAAGCTTGAATTGCTGCTGCAACATGACCTCAAAGTTTTTCAAGTAAAAAAAAGGGAATTAATACCAATTTTTCACAAATTCTTCCAAAATATAGAACATAGGGAAATTTTCCAACACATTCTTTAAGGCCAGTGTTATCCTGATACAAAACAAGACAGAACCATTACAAGAAAAATACAGATCAGTATCTGTTATGAATATATTAATGGATGCCAAAATCTTCAGCAAACTATTAGCAACCTGAATCAAGTAACATATAATAAGGATTATACAGCATGATCAAGTGGGATTTTAATATCCAAAAATTAATGGATAAGTAGCCCATGTCAATATAATAAGGGCCAAATACTATGTGATCATCTCAACAGATGCAGAAAATTCATTTGACAAAATTCAACACCCTTTCATGGAGGAGCAGGAGGGGAGGCGGAGGAGTGGTAGGGAAGGGAACAGGAAGCGGAAGAAGCCTCTGCTTGCCAATGAGCACAACCAACACCAGTCCCAGCAGCATCTGTAGTGTTTCATCAAGGACATGCTCTTCCTTGACAGCTCCAGCCAATGACTAAGAACATCCTTTGCTGGAGTCGTTTGTAAGACTAGGTCCTTGCCATTTTTGCCCATTGTGGGACTCCTATGAAGCAAACTTTGCTCTGAGGGTTCCTTTTGGGCTGGCCAAGACTTTCTTAAAGCTGCACAACAGTCTGAGGCTCTTTCTGCCAAATTTTTTCTTCTTCTTCTCACATCACAAGTGTCAGATCTGCATCATTGTCTAAAGACTTCCCCAGTCTACTCTTGTTCTCTCTCCCCTTAATCTTTCACAGGCAATGCCTCCCAATAAACTCCTTACTCTTCTAATTCAATCTTGGTGTGTGCTTCCTGAACTGACATGTCTTCATTTACTTAGGGGGCAATCATGTGTAACTGCCTGTGGGCCAAAGATAGCCATCACTCATGGTCTACAGAAGCAGCCAAAGAAGTTTCCTGGGAGTGTGAGGAGAGGATGTCATGAGCCAGTCTGGGCCAATCTTTGTGTGCAAATGAACTAGATGTAGCCCCTGCCCTGAAGGGCCTCTCAGTTTAATGGGAGAGATAGGGTGTCAACAAATATAATATGTGTGGTAAGTGCTAGAACCAAGTGAAAGCAGTGTGACACAGGAGCACAAGGAAGGGAATGATAGTCTGGAGGACTCAAGGAAGGCTTCACAGCTACATTTGAGCAAGGTTTTGAAGGAGTACAAGCTCTCCTGGAAGATGAGTTGGGAGTAAGGGCATTCCATACAGAGCAATGACATGTACCAAACACAGAGATGAGAATGGGCATGGTGCAGTGAGTGAGAGGCACCAGGAAATTTCCTACTGGGTCCTCATGGAATCTCACCTTTATGCAGAACCAGATGGAAACAGGAAAGGTCACAATGATGAAGAGCAGGGAAATGAGGACAAGAAGCCACTCACAGGCCCCTAAACCAGAGGTCTTGATGCCTTAAAAAGAAATAATAATTATATTGAAACTTCACCATATTCATTGACTAGCACTTGTTGGTCCAGTTCTTGGTACTGGGGTCAGAGAAGCTTGGAGATTTTCCTGGAAATATTAGAATGAGCCAGAATCAGAGTCATCCGAATTCCCAAGGCCCGGGGTGTTGTCTGTGTGAGCTTATAGAAAGTGGAAACAGGCTCCTAGAAAGGTGGTGGGGCACACTGCAACAGCACAGAATGGGAAGAAGGTCTAGGTTGCAGTTCTGGCTCTACCATTTCATATCCATATGACCTTAAGCAAGGCGCATGACCTTTTCAAACCTCAGTTTTCCCAACTGTACAATGCAGATACTAATATTTCATAACTATCTCATAATAACTGGCTCATGAGTTATATCTCCTATCTCTGGCATAAGGATAAAATGGCATACACACATAAAAAGCCCTGAACTGTGCTTTACATCTGTCAGCTTTGTTTGGTATTTGAAATGATTTGAACCACATGTGTCCAGAGGCTCATATTTCATGAAATAACTTCCCCTTCCAGTATCTGCCCTAATGTCTGAAATAACTCCATTAGAGCCCCTCTTTGGATGAAGGTCTTGATCTCCAGACAAGTCTCTGAAAATCATGTATATGGGGTAATAGTATCCGACTAATGTCTGTAAAAAAAGTTATAAGGAACTGGGGTGCATTTGATGCTTGGGTGATAAATGAAATGGTATCAAGGAAAGTCAGCCTCGAGAACACAAGCTTCTTGGGGGCTTATCTTGTTGACATTGTGCCCCCAGGCCTTAGAATAGTTCCTGACACAATATAGATGCTCAATAAATCTTTGTTGAATGTAGGAAAAAAGGAGAAGTGGATAGTGACAATGATTTATTAAATGTAATAGTTATGAAAATCTGAAGAATTTTAATCTTCAGGTACTAGAAAACTGGCCAAAGTGACACTAGTTGCCAGTTTAAAAATCTCATAAATAAAGCTGCAGCCCCCAACCCCCAGGATGGGGCCGTAGAGTTCCACTGTGCCGCCTCCCCTCCAACTCCCCCAACCCCTGCACATGGAAAACCCATGAAACTCCTGCCCAGGGCTTCCATGAAACTTAGGAGAACCCAGCTGCACAGCGGGAGGTGAGTGGTGGGAGCACAGCGAGGGAGGCTCCATCTGTGTTTACAGCTGCCCCGCTTCCCTCGCATCACCGCCTGAGCTCCGCCTCCACCACCCCACCCCCATCTGTGGAAAAACTGTCTAACATGAAACTGGTCCCTGGTGCCAAAAAGGGTGGGGACTGCTGTAGAGGACTAAAGATTAGGAAATGGTAAAAAGCTTATTTTTAAGGGATGGGGAGGAAAAGGATAAGTAATTGGTAGGCCTGAAAATTTGATATTCATGCTTGGAAAGATCATCACCAAATTGATGTGCAGATCACTTGAAGAGGACAGATATATAAGCTGCACCAGCACAAAAGCAAAATCAGCACTAAATGTCATAGTATGGCATTTCCAAAGGCTGTCCCCACAGAATACTAATCCCACAAGCTGCCCCACAAAGGAAAAGTTTCCTGGGCAAATGAGTTTAGAAAGTACTGGGCACTGTATCCCATTCCTGGAGTTCCCAATGCTTGTCAATATATTGAAGTTCTGAGAATCTCTGCAGTGAAGAATCATTCTTAGCTTTGTTTAATGTTTTGAAGCATTTGACCAGATAATATTTTCTCCAAGGAACATTCATTGATGTTCTATGGAACTTATTCCCCTCGGAATCCACTTGGGAAATGCTGCTCTGCCAACATCATATTAATTTTTATAATCTCAAGATACTAACTGCCATTTTTAATTAGTTACCAGTGGTAGCCATGGCAAGTAAAAATAAATGCACATACAGACCAAATTACATTTAATAAGTGTAGAAAGGCCTCAAATTCTTTAATACAGTAGTTAGGAATGTGAATAGAAACTGATTTCTATACTCGAAGCTAACTTAAAGCTTTACTCACAAAATATTATTCTCTTGGAATAAGTTGCTTTAATATCCAGTTTGGTTTAAGTTAATAGCGAAACATTAAAAGTTGAAGCAGGAAAAGCCTTTAGACATAGTCCAAGAATCCCCCAAATTTTAGAAAGGTGACTCCTGTCTCAAGTAGCCTGCGAATGGGGGAGAGGCGCTAAGTGAGAAAAAGGAGGTGCTGTTGCTCCCTATTCCCTGGGAACAGGGCAAACCTCTCTGACACAAAGGCGGCCTCATCCTTAGTGGGACTTCTCACCCATTTTGGAGGGGTCTCTTGCTCTAGATACTTTGTAGCTGGAGAGATTGAGGCCCACAAAGGTGCCCAAGACCACAGCTAGTTGGTAGCTGGGACCATGACCAGAAATCAAGGGCAGCACCATGCAAGGGGGAATTCTGGCTTTCCACTTCCCAGCTATGGGACTTGGTTACTTAATTTCTTATCTGTAATAAGAGAATGACAAGGGATTAGATAACTCAGTAAACATCTAGTGTGTGCTTGGCATATAGCAGGGGTTCCATAGATGGCTGTTCCCTTCCTTGCCTACCATATCACTGTGATCTGCCACACAACAGCTATGAGCCCTCTAATCGCGACATTGCTATAGCATTGAACACAACTCTTTAATGACTAGAATTTTCTGACTGATGAAAGGGCATCAACTGGGCAAAACAATATTAACATGGCGCATTTGAACTACATCCCAAGTACAGAAATCTTTCTCAAATTGTAGCTTTCAGTGATCCAGCCTGTACCTCATTACTGGTAGTCAGGAAATGTTAAAACTTTGTAGCCAGCAGAAAGCAATATACACACTATTCTTTATTTATTTTCTGTTAAACATCTGTCATGCTACTACTTAAATTGAAATGATTTTTTCCTTCCATTCAAAAGGACTGGAGGTAGATAAATTTATTCCTAAGAGCTGCTTCACCTACGGAAGCAAAAGAGACACCTTTCTTTACATTCCCTCCTTTGATCTAACTTGCCTTTTTTTTTTTTTAGCTTGCAAGGATCCTGCTAAAATGGAGCATGTTTTTTGCTACAGGCTTTGTAAAAAGTGCTTTAGATGCCTTTTCTAATTTTATCCTCACTACTCTCTGAGGCAGCTACTGTTGTTATTTGATAATACTTAAGGCCCTTCCTGTGATCACATGGCCAGCAACCAGTTAAGCTGTGATATAAACTCAAGTCTGGCTCTTCCACTTGGCTTTTCTGCACCTGCTTTTTTTAAAAAAAAATTATTTAAAGAATTAACATCTCCAAAAATAGTTTAAAACATACTTAGGTAAGACTGAGGAGTGAGGAAGAGGAAAGAAGAATAAGCCACAGTAATGGCCCAGAGCACTCAGCTAATGCAAGTCTTTACTGAAAGTAGACGACCGCCCGTACGCCCTTCCAGGGCCGCAAAGACCAGCTTCGAGGTCCCTTTACCCTGGCGATCGGCCCCAGCCCGGGCTCACAGCCTCCCATGTCCGTCCGCGGCTGGGCCTGAGAACAGAGGCATGTAGTGACGCTACTTGGATTTCTTTTGATTACTTCGCACCACACCCTGGCAGGTAGCGGCTCTCACTCGCGCCCCTCTTTTCCTGGCAGCCCGAGCGTCCGGCGGGCGCTCTGGCTGCGGCGGCTCCTGCGGGGCGGCTCCGCCCACCTTGGGGCGTCCCGGGGGCCGGGAGGCGGCTTCCCCGCCGCGGAGCGACCTGTCTGCAGCCGTACCTTCCTCGGGCCGCTCGCTCTCGAGCAGCGCCACCAGCTCGGCGCCCTCCTCGCCGGAGCCGCGGACTTCATCCACGTCCACCACGGTGGCGGCGGGCGCGCGGCGCTCGCCCGGGCTCCGTGCCCGCCCGGAGCCCGTCCGCTCGGGCCTGGCCTCCCGGCGCCCGCGGCCTCCGCCGCCCCTCTCGGCCGTGGCCCTCTTGCTCTGTTTGCCGGGGGACCGGCCGCCTCGCCCGTGGGCCTCTCGTGAAGAGCTCCGCGCCCTGCTCTCCATGCTCGGAGCTGCCGGTGGCCCGAGCTGCAGGCGCGGACGCGGCTCGGCCGGGAGCGCGATCGCCGCGGAGCCGCCCGCAGGGGGCGCGGGGCGGCGGGGCTGTGGTGACCGTGAGGCGGGGCGGCGGGGCTGTGGTGACCGTGAGGCGGGGCGGCGGGGCTGTGGTGACCGTGAGGCGGGGCAGCGGGGCTGTGGTGACCGTAGGTGTGGTGGGGCGAGGCGGGGTGGGGCTGTTGTGACCGTCGGTGTGTGTGGTGGGTGGCGGGCGGGCGGGCTGGGCTGTGGTGACCATAGGTGTGTGGGGCCCGGCGGGCCCAGGGTGGGGCTTGTGGTGACGTCGGTGTGGTGTGGTTGTGGTTGGTGGGCCGGGGGCGGGTGGCTGTGTGACCGTCGGGGTGTGGTGGGGTTCGGGTGGGGGCCGTGGCTGGGTGACCGTCGGTGTGGTGGGGTCGGGGTGGCGGGGCTGTGGTGACCGTCGGGTGTGGTGGGGTCGGGTGGGGCGGGGCTGTGGTGACCGTCGGGTGTGGTGGGGTCGGGTGGGGCGGGGCTGTGGTGACCGTCGGGCGGAGCCGGACTCGACCCGCCCGCCAAGCCGGAGGCGGTGTGGCGCGGACCGGACGACAGTGCGGCGTGGGAGCCCTGTGCCAGGGCGTGCTGCCTGGTGTTTTAACGTGGGTTTCTGTAGATGAAGATTTGAGCTGTAAAAAGATTCAGTGACTTGAAATGCCACGGAGGCCCGCAAATCGCTGAAGGGGTGATGGCGCTTTGTTTTATGGTTTGTAAAAGTGGCAAGGAATAAGTTACCTGTTCCTAAGTGTAATAATGCCAGAGGGTTTAGGAAGATACAAAAGGCCATTGAATTAGGGTGACTTTAAGGTAAAATTAGAAATTTCTCCTCAAACCCTCCCTTTCCCCCTTGGAGTCCTTCAAAGGGGCGTTTCCCTACTTTTTTCTTTTTCTTTTTTTCTACTTTGCCTGACTGCTGCTGGGAGTATTTACGTTTTAAAAGGAGAGAAAGAAAATGGTCTTTGAGATTAGTTCTCTCTCTCTCTCTCTGTCATTATTTATGTTTCTTTATTTTTTATTAATGCTTAAACCTGTTGTTGATATAATGCTTCTTGAAGGTTATAGAAGGGGAGGGATCAGGTTTAATCTGTTTTTAGGAAAGGGACTTTTGTCCCTGCGTAGGCCCTGTTCCCTTGCTTCCCTGATGAAGGCTGGAGTTTGCTCTTTCAAGGTTCACTGGCCAGGCTGGATCTAGCAGCGAAGCTGTCTGGCCCACCTGCTTCTGAGGGACTTGAAACATTGAATAGGTTTCTCTTTTACTTTCTGTTAATAATTTCTCACTGAATGGGGAGTTTGGTCTAAATAATCCATCACAGAAGATTTATGACTCCACCCAAATAGTTCAGATCACACAATGGTAATAAGTTTCACTTATTTTTTATTTTTCAATATTTATTGAGTTCACACAGTAATAGCTTTTTTTGTTTTTCCTTTCAAAAACCTTATTAAAGAGTGAAGACCTGAAGTAACTCAAATGGGTCTGGAAAAACTATTCCACTACTTACTTTAATGTGTTCCAAATTAGGCCACTGGGAATAAAGTAATTAAAAGATTAGTAATAAAGTAATTTAAATAGTTTTGTTTTTAACTCTTTAAATCTAATTATAACATGGGTTTTATGAGGGAGGACAAATGTTTCTTCTCAAGTGCCTGCCTCAATTAATAGGTCCTGCCTAAAACACTACAGTGAGAAAAATTCTGAAGCTGCATTTGGCCCATAGAGGAAATAGTATCATGATTATTTAGTATTTCCCCAAATTAATATTTGCTACTTAACAGAACTAGTTTCTTTATCATCCTGTAGAGATTTCCCTGTTAGGAAAAGAATGAAATTATTCATAGCATTTGTCAATTTTTTTTTCTCAGCCTTTCATGAGTTAACTTGATCTATGCTCCTAGCTATAGATTCTTATACCAAAGTTGCACCTCAATTTTCACTCTAAGAATGAATCAGGATATCTGGCCAAATGCTATTCTCCAGACTGTACTTTGTCTCCCAATAAGGCAGAGAAATTTCTTATAGGAGAAAAACTAATGAGAAAAGGCCCTACTGGGTTTGGAGCCCATGCTGGGCACTTGTCCTCAGTCTCCTTTGCTCTTTTGACCACTGACAAGTCACATAATCATTCTTCATTTTCTATTTCCACATATAACACCAATATAAGTACCTGCTTTTCATGTAGGTCTGTTGGGATTATGAAAAGACAATGACAACCTCTGAGAAGGTGCGTCACATTGCATGATAAGAAGGCCAACATGGCGTGTCTGGAAGGCGGAGGAGTTGGGGAGGGCAGTGCTGAGTCAGCATATGAGTGTAGCTGGTTGGCCTCCGCTACTCTTAAAATGATGCTGCTGTTTTCTTTTAGATTCCTTTTTAATTGAAAATGTTGCTCATCCCTTTGCTGAAAATATTATATGCACATATTTTTAAAGTCTTAATGCTTTACTCCTTGTTTGGATTTAAGAGACTGATGTCTGTGGGAACCCAGTTACTAGAAAGAAGGGGAAGATCAATTAAAGTTGTTAATTTTTGAGTTTGTGTTTCCAAGGTGAAAGGTCATGAAACATTGCAGGGCTTTCTAAATTATTATACTTATTCCCATATAGTGTTGACATTTTATATCCATATGGATAAATGAAGGCATGAGCACCGACTTATGTGGATTATTTAATGGAAAAGCTAAAATTCATTGGCACTAGATGAAATTGCATATCTTATCATTTTAGAGCTGGAAACTATAGGGATTTATTAAATTTGACTTTCTCAATTTGTAGATGGCAGAGAGACCAACTAGGAGGACACAACAGTGGACTAGGAAAGTGAGGCTAATGAGATCCTGATCTGCAGCTTTGGCAGTGGGGATGGCCTGGATTCAGGAAATATTTCTGAGGGACAGAATCAACAGAATTTGATGATCTTGTGGGGTTATGGAGTGGGGGCCTTGAGGGGATGGAGGAATTGAGAAAGATGGAGATTTTGGCCTTACTAGGCTGAGCAGTTGGGCATAACTGCAGCTCCTCTGGCTGATCCACTTCCCCTAGCTGTACTGACCCTAAGCATCTTATGTTCCCGCTCTTTTTGCCTGGATATGCAAATGTTGGCCTATTAGGTGCTGGGGTGAGATAGACTTATTTGACTTTTGTATCATTAATTCACCCCACCAATACTTAGCACCTATTATATGTTTAGCACTGCCCACCTCTGAGGACATAAAAGTAAGACATGGTGCATGCCCTTAAGGAACTTATAACAGGGAGAGACATATATAAACAGATAAGTGTGATAAAGTGTTGTGCACTAGGGTTTCTCAACCTCAGCACTATTGATATTTTGGACCCAGTGATTCTGTGTTGTCAGGGGCTGTCCTGTGCATTGTAGGATCTTTAATAGCATCCCTGGCCTCTACCCACTAGATGCCTGTAGCACCCCATCCCTAGCTGTGATGACCAAAGATGTCTTTGACATTGCCAAATGTCTGTCCCATAGCATCAAAATCACTCCTGGCTAAGAACCACTGATTTATATGGTATACTGTGAGGTTGCAAAAAGGGAGTAATTCTACCTGAGTAGAGTCAGAGGAGATCCAGTTTGGGCTATATTAAAGAGATGAGTGGGTTCTCCCAGGAGAACTTTGAGAACTGGGCTTTCCAGCCATAGGGAGCAGTGCAAAAGATAGCACCTCATATATGGCAGGTCAATCAGTGGCTTGACAAATTGGCAAAAGAGGAGATGAGAGAGGTAACCAGCTCAAGAAATGAGAAGCCTTTTACACCATATAAGAGAAATGGATTTTATCTTACAGGCCAAAGAAGCCATTGAGGCACTGTAAGCAAGGAATAATGTGGTCAGATTTGCAATTGAAAAGAGACATTTTGTGAATGAGGTGGAATAGGAAGAGAATGGAGAGAGACTAGCGAGGAGATTCTTACAAGCATCCAGGTGATAGGGAGGTTATTAGTTATGTTCAGAGGAAAGGGTGATGAACTCGGGACTCTGGTCAAAGTAATTGGAGAATAGGGCTGGCATCCAACTGAGGGAATACAAGAGAGGAAACAGATTTTTTTTTAAAGATAGGTGGGCACAGTAAGTTCAGTTTCAGAGTTATTGAGCTAGAAGTGTCTACAGGATATTTGTCTAGAAATGTACAGTAGACAATATTTAGGTTTGAGGCTCAGAAGGGGTCATGTTTCTGTGGCCAAGATCTAGAATCTTTCACAAATATCTGACTCTGGCCACAGCATCCTCTTCTGGGTCTTCAGGAGAGAAAACCACTGAAAGAAGAAATTGCACATGGAAAAGTGATCCAGGGCAGCTTGGGCTCCAATACTTTTATTTATAATCTCCCTGTTCTCATCACTAAAGATACATTTTCTATTTCTGGTGGCTTGTGTGACTTGTGTGACCCTTTGTCCCTTGTCAGTCTCAATGTTATCAAGGGGGTTGGGGTGGAAGAAGCTGGGGAGAGAGAGGCGGGTGTAGGGGCATGGATCCTAGATCAGTGCTTCCAGTATTTTCCCATTAAGGCAAACACAGAAAATGGTACTATTTGAGTGGCATACTGGGGCAAACTTAAGGGGATTTGAGGGCATCTATATAGGGTTTAGTGAGAAAATTTCATTTTTGATATATAATCATGGTTTTAAAAAGTATTAGGAATTCAATATTAATAAACTAAATTTGTATACAAATACTTTTAAAATTTTAAATGGAGTCTTGAGTTTGCTTCCACAAATATAAATTTTATTTTTGAAATAGCGACATGAAATTTCTAGTCAAGACTTTTTAATAAGCTCTTTAAATTTTTGTTACCATTGATGAGACAAGCGTTTACACAATTTAAAAAGTTGTAAAAGCATCTTTACAATCACTTAAAAATTCATAACAGTTGAACTTAAAAAATCTAATTTCTTTCATCAACAAATGTAATTGTGGT